AATGGATGTGCTAAATAACTTCACTATGGTCATCAATTCACAATGCATTTATCAAATCATGGTGTATACCTTAAAACATATACAATCTTATTTGTCAAAAAGAGAGGACTGCCTACCCTTATTCAGTCACTTATTCAAAATTTTTTTGAGTTGAATAATTTGAGTTGAATTATAATGATTCTACAATCATCTTGGCCAAAAAGACAGGCATTTAACAATCAATTATACGATAAGCTTTGCATAAACACCATGATAAATAGGAATGCTTCAAGAAACTATGAACAAGAAGTCCAACTAGGGTGAGGGTGAAGAGTGGTAGTGTAGCTACCCACGGAAAAGGAGGCAGAGCAAATACAAGGTGAGGCTGAAGAGGCAGGCAGGGAACCTGTTAGGCAGAGTTTGGAATTTATCTGAAATGCAACCTGAATTTTCTTATCATCCTGCTAATTACTTAGGTCATAATGTGTTCACTGTCATATACCCCATTAGACAGTAAACTCTACAAAGACACGGACTGCGTCTCTTTTTAATTGCCTTATCTTTGATGCCTAGAATACAGAAGACAATCAAATATTGAGTTAATGACTATTAATCCATCCTCTACAGAAAGAATACCTCTAGGCTCAGCACCTGTGGCTCAAGCAGCTAAGGCGCCAGCCACATACACCTAAGGTGGTGGGTTCGAATCCAGCCCGGGCCGCCAAACAACAATGATGGCTGCAACCAAAAAATAGCCAGGCGTTGTGGCGGGCGCCTGTGGTCCCAGCTACTTGGGAGGCAGAGGCAGGAGACTCGCTTGAGCCCAGGAGTTGGAAGTTGCTGTGAGCTGTGATGCCACAGCACTCTACCCAGGGGGACAGCTTGAGGCTCTGTCTCAAAAAAATAAAGAAAGAAAGAATACCTCTCACATTATTTCTACATATTTGAAAAGTTTTTCTTTTATCTGGATTAAATAACAATGTATTCATTTGCTCTTAAATTTTCTCCTTCTTCATCTTAAGTGATGTTTTCTAGATTTTCTCTAAGATTTCCGAAATTTGACTTGAATGCTACTAGAGTGGGATAATCTTCCCTCTTATCAAAAAATGGCAGTTATTAACACGTAGGATGAGCACAAATTACAAAACACCATTAAGCAACCATCAACATAATAACTGATTCAGCCGAGAATCATCATGAATACTAAAACCATGAGGTGAAATACTACTGAGGAAAAGTGATTCATAGAGCCACCAAGTTTCAACCAGCACAGATGACTAATTCACTACAAGACAAAGTACCCTTAAATAGAAAAATCCAAAAGAATTCCTCCACAGCTAAGAAATCAAACTTTATGTTAGCAATAATGAGAAAAACTGACCACATATGTCTTTTTTTCCACATCTATTTTTTTCTTTTTTTCTTTTAATTAAATGATAGCTGTGTACATTAATGCAAACATGGGGTACAGTGTAGTGTTTTCACATAAGATTTGAAATATTTTCATCAAACTGGTAAACATAGACTTTGTGTCATTTACTTAGTTACTGACTGTGTTAAAACATTTATACTCTAGTTCTAGAAAAATTCACTTGTACCCTTGTTAGACAGACCATATATGTGATCTTTCCAATCACCCTCCCTCCACCCATCCGCCCTACTCCCCTCCCCCAACCCCCTCCCCGTATTCTTGGGCAAGAATTAGGTTGTAGCTTTCATTTGAGATCTATAAATTAGTTTCATAATAGGGCTGTGTACATTGGATACTTTCACATATGTCTCTTGATGCATTCACCAAGGATGGCTTAACATCACCTTTGTAGTATTTTTACCAAAAACAATTTTAACTGCATCTAAGCATGAGGAAGTTCTAGACTTTGTGGTGTCAGACAAGTTAAAATTATAGGACAATCTAAAAAAACTGGCTTGGAGTTTTCAAAAAATGTCAACAATGTGGATGATGAAAAATAGGCAGGGGAACTAGTCCCTATGACAGGAACTCACATAGGCCTGGGCAATCCGCTGGCACGTGTGATGACCGACCAGCGTGAACCCAAGGGAAAGCGGCCCAGCTATCCAGCATCACCCCCACACAGAGAAATCTGAACATGGCCTGGACATTAGGTAAAATCACACGTCAGTGTTAGTGACAAGGACATTACAGCTATATCAGAGAATCTGTTCTTAAGAGATACACACCCCAAGGTATTAGGAGGTAAAGCACCAGAAGTCTACAACTTGTGTGTAACTGGTTCAGAAAAAGCAATTTTAGAGAGATTAAGCAAATGTGGCCAAATAGTAACAAGTGACTGATCAAGGTAAAAGGTATATCGGTGTTCACTGTACAATTCTTGTAACTTTTGTGTATGTTGATATGCAAAACAAAGCTCAGTGCAACATTGTCACTAAATTTCCAGGAAGGTGTGAGTGGATACATTATGATGCAGTCACAGAATATTACATGCAGTTAACAATCGGTCAGGATGAGTACAGTCATCAAGATAAGTAGACCCTGAAAACTGTATTGTGTGAAAATAAAGTAAGTGTTTTTTGTGTTTTTTTTTTTTTTTTAAATGGTTTGACGATGACACAATGTGACACCATGTATGTTTTCTTAAAATTCAGGTATAGTATACTTATATAGTAAAGGTATAAAAATGGGCAGAAAAGATATAATCAAATTTGCAGGGTGGTAATTTCCATTAGAAATGGAGAGCAGAGGCTCAGTGCCTGTAGCACAGTAGTTACAGTGCCAGCCACACACAGCGAGGGTTGCAGGTTCAAACTCAGCCTGGGCCTGCTAAACAACTGCAACAAAAAAATAGCCAGGCATTGTGGAAGCCGCCTGTAGTCCCAGCTACTTGGGAGGCTGAGGCAAGAGAATCACTTAAGTCCAAGATTTGGAGGTTGCTGTGAGCTGTGACACCACAGCACTCTACCCAGGGTGATATGGTGAGACTCTGTGTCAAAAAAAAGAAAGAAAAGAGGGGAGGGGAGGGAAGGGAAGGAAAGGAAGGAAAGGAAAGAAAGGAGAAAAGAAAGAAAGGAAAGGAAGGAAATGGAGAAAAGAAACAATAAAGGATTGGGAAGAATACAAAGAGAAGAGTAAAAATAAATGAGAAACATACAGAGCAAAATGTTATCACCTGGTACTGAGATTCACTGGTACACAGCTGTTTATAATATTACTCTGTAACCTTTTCAACATGGTTACAAGATTTTATGATAAACATGA